AGAGGAGCTCTCTCCTTCTGCGTTGCCATTTCTTGTGATGTCGTAGATGTCTTGATCGTAGTTGAATTTGTCCTGACTGCTCTCATACCATGTTGGGCTGAGAAGGCCCTTAGGATCTTTGCAGGACAGAATTCAAGAGTAGGATGATGTAGTAGCGGAAGCGTTTAATAAAGGATTGTGAACCACCTTGCGCTTGTATGTGAGGGCAAAGTAAGTTAATAATAACAAAAGGATACAAGCTTTTATATGATTACAAGGAATATGAAAGGGTTCTATTTTAACTGTTTTTGCTGTTGCGGTTCGATACAGTGCCGACTCGGGTAACTGCTCTGTAACGAGTCAGTTATATGTCCTTGCTGTCGCACTGTACATTTCGTCAGGTCAAAGGTCGCTGACCTTTGACTTTCGCGTAACCTCCAGCAGTTGTTCAACCTCCGAGGGTTGACTCACCGATGTTTCGATACGATCTGCTTCGCTTCTGTCTTGGTGTTTCGACACGACAGAGGCGCTTAAATCAGATGTTTCCAACATGTGTAAGGATTTACAAATCCATACTGCAATACTCGTTAGCGAGTCCATCCCGAGGGTCACGCGACATACCTGTTCGGCTTACTTCATCACACCGAACCACTCACGAGTCGGCTCCGCTCCAATCACAACATCACCAAGCCATCCTTCGCCCGACCTCTTCGCCTAGCTAGGATTCCCCTTATAAAATCCTGTCACTTTCCTTGTATCGTCATTCAGTATTCAACCATTCTCGTTATTCATTCAGCGCACTCTGCAAGTTCATTCATAACAATATGGATCTTAGTCAGACTGTCAAACTATTTTTTTGTGCTCTCTCTAGGCTATAGTGGGCTAGCCTACCACAAGGGGTACAACACTTTAGGGTTAGTACTTGTACCTAACTCATTCATAGTTCATTCATTCCTGCACAGTTATTCTGACATGGTATTAAGAGCCGGTCGTTCCTAGACCGATTCCCTCATGGGCCCACCGCGTGTTCCTCCTCTCACGGCACATGTTCTGCGCCCCCGTCACGGCCGTACTATCGACGGTCGCGACCGTCGCAACGGTCATGGCGGCAAGTTGGTCGCGCCCTCCGTCACAGCCCCGTCCGTCCCGCTCTGCCCCAGCCCGTCCCGTCCCCGTCCAGCGGCGCGCAGTGCGCACAGCCGCACGCACGCAGCTGCACGCACGTCACCAGCCGCGCGAGCGACTGCTGCGAAATGCACAGCTGCTGTCAAAACATATATGTGTCAGTTTACATTTCTCTAGGCTACATTGGGGGTATCTTTAGGGGGTATAGAAACCATCTCGATACTTTGCTTGTACCCCCTCCCTCAACCTAATCGACCACTTCTTCCTTAGTTCTTCAACAGCTGCAGCCGCACGCACGACTGAACCGTCACGTGCAGCTGCAGACACACGCGCAACTGCAGCCGCCTGCTGGCTCAGAGACACGGGGCTAGAGGTTGAGCTGATGCGCAGCGTATCGGACCGCAAACAACCACAGAAAATGGGGAGCAGCCGCATGGACCATGGAGGTACGAGCAACCTCCATGATCAAGCCAATGCGACGCTCAGCAATCCCATTTTGCTGAGGAGAGGCCGGAAGCGTGAATGACTGATGGATGCCCTCGTCTCGACATAACTCCGCAAGGAGGTCAGAAGAGCACTCACCGCCCCTATCAGAGTGCAGACGCAGGACTGGAAAGTCCCGACTGAAACGCTCGCGCAGCTGGCGACGAGTAGCACGGATCCAGGGGATCAAAACACCGCTGACGTTCGCCTTGCGCCGCAAGGGGAAGACAGTGGTGTAACGTGTGTAGTCGTCAACAACCAGCATGAAGTAGCGATCCTGGTCCGTTCCACCGACGGGGGCCGGGCCCCAAACGTCCATGTGGAGAGTCTGCAGAGGAGCAGTGGTCGGAGGAAACTCGGAGGAGTGAGGAGCGGCGCGCTGCCGGCCCTCGACGCAGGGAAGGCACGGCGGGGCAGGCGAGCGCGGGAGGGAGGGCAGGGACCTGGGAAGGCCAGAGACAAGGAGACGGGAGTGCATACCACGGAGACGCAGCAGGGAGGGGTGACCGAGGCAGTGGTGCTAGAGGAGAGTCTGGTGGGAGAGTACCTGACACGAGCAAGACGCTGCCAGCTGACCAAACGCAGACACCTGACTCGACGCAGCCACCTGACCTGCCTCAGCCACCTGTGCAAACGCAGTGGTCAGTGTGTACAGACTAGACTCAGGCCGTCGAGTGAACGTAGCAAGGTGACGGCCAGTCTGGGAGCACGTACAGATTGCTACACGCTGCCCTCCAGGAATAAAGGTATCAACCCAGACATCCTGAATGGCAGCGTTGCTCACCAAGTTCGTCGAGAACGTGGGGAGGTGGAGATCTGACAGAGAACCGGTGGGGACTGCTGGACACGGGAGGACAGTGGAGACTCGTGCGACTACTGGGCCCCCAGTGGGGTCAGCCAGTGAGACTGGTACCGGTGCAGCAAGTGGTGTGAGTGTGGTGCAGTCACGAAAGAAGCAACGTGACGCGTTTGAGTCAAGGATGAAAGTGTGCAAGGCCTCAGCTGAGGAAGGACATGTGGCGGGAGACGCACAGCACCTAGAGCTGCAGCAGACTCACTAGCACCTAGTGTAGCAGCAGACTCACTAGCACCTAGTGCGGCAGCAGACTCACTAGCACCTAGTGCAGCAGCCTCGACAGACCAATGACACATCGCTGAGGAAACAACTCACTAAGCACTTGCGGGGAGAAGGTCTCATGCTGACTCTGCTGCCGCCTCTTTGCAGTACGTAGAAAACCAAAGCCTCCACCACCTGGATGGGCTCTCTGAAGAACCCACTCGCGAAGCTGCTGAGGGGTGGGGTCGTCCGGGAGAGGCAGTGACCGCCGCTGACCACCCCTAGCCGCTGCAACTGCCGTGATAGTGGCCATGACAGGCAGTGACAGGCAGTAGTAGGTCCAGCACCTCCAGCACCAGCAGCACCTCCAGCACTCCCAGTAGCACCTCCAGCACCCCCAGCACCAGCAGCACTCCCAGTACTCCCAGCAGAACCTCCACCAGCAGCAGCAGTAGTAGCAGAAGGGCGGCTCGGTGGGGCTGGTGATCGAGGTAGGGTGGCGCGGCTGGGCAAGGCAGGGGGCGCCGCGGGCTGCAGGGCAGGGCGTGCGGTGGACAGGGCAGCAGAGCGCGCGCTGTGCAGGGCAGCAGTGGGCGACGCGCGGGGCAGCAGAGCGCGACGCGTGGGCTGCAGTAGGGCGCGACGCGCTGGCTGCAGCATGGCGCGACGCGCAGGGCGGCAGAGCGCGATGCGTTGGCTGCAGTAGGGCGCGACGCGCTGGCTGCAGCAGAGCGCGACGTGCAGGGCAGCAGAGCGCGACACGCTGGCTGCAGAAGGGCGCGACGTGCGGGCTGCAGCAGGGCGTGACGCGTGGAGCAGCAGAGCTCGATGCGCGGGCTGCAGCAGGGCGTGACGTGCGGGGGGCAGGCAGTGCGAGTAGGTGCAGGGCAGCTCGACACTGTGCGAGCAGGGCCGGACAGCGCAAGGGCGCTTCGGGCAGGAACGAGCGGAACTATCGGTGGGCCCTAAAAACGTAACATGTTTCCTGCTCTGAATACCATGTCAATATAAGCTTAGTAGTGCCTAGGGTTTGGGTGATAGGCAACTATCGAGAGTAGAAAGGAAGAGGGTTTGACTAAAGGGCCAAAGGCCCAAGTTATACAAGAGACAAGCAAGGAGGGGGTGCACCACAAGTAGGACATCAATATAACTACACTACAGCTAGAACTACATGCAGTTATACAGAAATATTATGACAAAATATTTATTTGGCGGGCGCTGCACGGAAATTTTCCGGATTCCTGACCGCGCACGCACCATCATGACGCGTACAGCACTTGACCGTTCTTTGCCCGTTACAGCCTACACCTTTCCCCCGCCAATTTCAATCCCTGAAGTTGGATGCTCGTGGGTAGGCACCTTTGTTATTTCTGGAACCAAGGGTTATAGCTTGATATCTATTTTAAAGTGGCTAAAGTTTCGGACTCCCTTCGAGTACATGGACGCAACGGAGGTCGCAACTGAAAAAATGGCCTGCGTGAGTGGGTGGTGCGGCTGATCCCCTGAGAGTTGTTTTTTTTCTACCACCGATGCGGAGAGCATAGTTCATATCCTTTTGATTCTGGATGTCTGAAAGGTACAGCCGAATCTGGTCCGGGGTGCGTGAAGTAGCGTCTGCCACTTGGCGCGTCACTTAAACCTGTCAGGGCTGTAGTTGGCTGAGTCAGCCTACGCTCCGGGACTAGCCCGAACCTAGTTGCCAGCATTGCGCTAGCTATGTCACAAGCCCGCGTTACCATTGACACATTTCTCTATAAATGTTTGCTCATGCCTTCGCTCACATTGTATTCTTCCTTTGCTCCTCTCGTGCAATCCTCGCTCGATTCATCATTTGCGCTCGTAACACTTGGATATGAGAGCACCTTTCCTAACAGGCTGCAGATTTTTCCACTACTGCGGTAGCGCCCCCAAACTTGTTTTTTTTCACTTGTAGGAGCAAACTCTCACGCTGGATTCGCAGAATGAGATTTGATGTGAAGTGATTCAAATGCACCTGAGGAGCATGGGCTGGTTCTTCAGGCATGGGGACGTTGCTTGTTAAGCAGGAGAACAGAAATAGTTCGCCGCTTCAAAAAATACAGACCACCGACATGTAGTGTAGTGTGGCAAAGTCATCCGAGTGGGCATAGAAGCTACTGGCAATGTCTCTTTGACCCTTGCAGCAGCATAAAATTCACACCCTTGTTTGTATGGCAATGCTAAACAGCTGCAGTATAGTATGGTGGTAGCTTCATAGGAGGAGGTTGAAGCAAGAGGAGGTTGAAGCAGGAGGAGGTTGAAGCAGGAGGAGGTTGAAGCAGGAGGAGGTTGAAGCAGGAGGAGGTTGAAGCAGGAGGAGGTTGAAGCAGGAGGAGGTTCACACTGTCTCTGATTGCTTGGGCCGCACGACAATGACAGGGCAGGTGGCATGATTGACACAATAGTCTGACACACTACCAAGCACAAGTCTGGAGGGAGAGGAGGGGAAGGAAGGAAAGCGGAGGGGAGGGGAGGGGAGGGGAGGGGAGGGGAGGGGAGGGGAGGGGAGGGGAGGGGAGGGGAGGGGAGGGGAGGGGAGGGGAGGGGAGGGGAGGGGAAGGAAGGAGGAACGTCAAACAGTCTCTGATCTGATTGCTTGAGCCTAGTAACGGGGCAGGTGGCATGGTTGGCACAAGAGTCTGACACACTCCCAAGCACCAGTCTGGGGGAGAAGGGGAGGGAAGGTTAGGGAGAGGAGGGGAGGGGAGGGGAGGGGAGGGGAGGGGAGGGGAGTGGGGAAGGAGGGGATCCATGAAGGAGTTACGTCAAGCAGCACAGCACACTGTCAGCAGGTAGAATGTGCAAATATGAACAGATATGTACACATATGTGCAAATATGTAAACATTGTATGCTCTAGATACACTTCAGATACGCTACAGATACGGTCCTGATATGCTACAGCCCTGTTCTCTGATGCACTCTCTCTCACCGCTTCACGGCACTAAGCCCTCGGGACCCCATGATGAGTGTATGCGCCTTCATCCTCTCCACCTCGTGGCAGATGCATTCACCACCTCTCTTCACCGCACTGCACCATCGCACTGGATCGCATCTCACCGCTTAACAGTACTGAGTCCCCGTGACCCCATGATGAGAGTATGCGCCTTCATCCTCTCCACCTCGTGGCAGATCCGCTCCCTGGGGTCCGCGTCCTGCACTGCCACTATGTCGTATTGCACCTGAGGAAGACAGGAGAGGGAGGGGGGGAGATACCTCATACAGGGAAGAACGTGACAGAAAAGGAAGGGTTGCTTTGAATGTTCTTGCAGATGCGCTCGCTAAGATCCGCGTCCTGCACTGCCACCATGTCATACTGCACCTGAGGTGTATTTTGAGGCGCCTCAAAAAACACCTCAAGATCCGCGTCCTGCACTGCCACCATGTCATACTGCACCTGAGAGATTGGGGAGAGAGGGGTGGGATACGGGGGAGAATGTGGCGAGAAGCACAGGGCTGCTGTGTGGGTTCTTGCAGATGTGCTCTTTGGGGTCCGCATCCTGCACTGCCACACGCACCCACCCACCCACCCGCCCTCCCACCTGCCCACCCACCCGGCCACCCACCCGGCCACCCACCAGGCCACCCACCCTCCCACCTGCCACGACGACCCACCCACCAACCCCCCCATCCACCCTACTAGCTTTCTCAGCTCGCACACCTACTGACCCACCTTAGCCTGGTCCAGCTGGTGCGACAGGTTGCTCACGAATTTCCTCCGCACTCCAGCATTGTGCTTCTCAATCACACGGTCGACCTCTGCCATTGCCTCTGCTGACAGTGTTGAATCCGCATAGGCTGGAGGGGGAGCGTGGGACACACAGGCATAGGTGTTGCCCTAAAAATCCAGAGTGCAAGCTGGCTCTTCCCCCTCCAACCCAGCGTTGTGCTTCTCTCTCACTCGGTCAACCTCTGCCATCGCCTCTGCTGACAGCGTGGAGTCGGCATAGGCTGGTGGGGGAGAGGTGGGGGTGTGTGGGGAACAGAGAAGGTCACGAAATCACCTCCCTGGCACATGAAACGCCACGCCTCTACATCACTCGGTCCACCTCTGTCATCGCCTCTGCTAACAGCGTGGAGTCGGCATAGGCTGCAGCAGGAAGACAAGGGGGTGTGTCGGTGTCGGGTGGGGCACACAGGCTAGATACAGCCATAAGAAACGAAAGAGCAGAGTGACTCTTCCCACACCACCCCAGCGTTGTGCTTCTCTATTACTCGGTTCACCTCTGCCATAGCCTCTGCTGACAGCGTGGAGTCAGCATAGGCTGGGGAGAGAGACATATGGGGGTATGTTGGGCACACACGCATATATACAGCCGAAAGAAACCAGAGAGCAGAGTGACTCTTCCCACACCACCCCAGCGTTGTGCTTCTCTATCCCTCGGTCCACCTCCGCCATTACCTCTGCTGACAGTGTGGAGTCCGCGTAGGCTGGCAGAGGGGTAGAGGGAGATGCGGGGCACAAACACAAATATACAGCGAGACATTCACCCATATGATCAGGTGTGCGGACGCATCTAGGATCCCGCAGCAGCCAGGTAATCATGTAACCAGGTAACCACACAACCAGCTACCAAAGAAATCCAGGTAGTATGCAACCGAACCCGCAAAGAGGCCAGGTCTCGATATTACTGGGCGCACGTGCAATAGGCATGCAACCTTGTAACCATGTGTAACCCTACCTGCAAAGAGGCCAGGTCCCGACTCGACAACTGGGCGCACGTGCAGCAGAGTGACTCGATCTGATGGACGAATGTGGTTCTTGAGCGCCCATGCTACTGCCTTCTCACTAATATGGAGGAGGTGTGAGGGGGGGGATGCGAAGGAAGAGAACAAAAACGGTTCACACAAAAGGCGTGACTCGATCTGATGGACGAATGTGGTTCTTGAGCGCCCATGCTACTGCCTTCTCACTGATATGGAGGAGGTGAGGTGCGGGGGGGGAGGGAGATGGGTGAGCAAAAGAAGAGGCAAAAACATTCAGGCGAAAGGGGGTTCACTCAGCCTGTGTGATGAGGCGATTTTTGAGTCGACTCAAAAATCGCCTCATCACACGCGGATTGTATGTGGAGAGAATGTTTGTTGCGTGGAAAATTGGTTGTAACCTGCAACGGTTACTGGTGCGCGCGCGACTTCTGAAGTTGCCCCTTGGCGAAAATCTGAACCCAACCTTCACGCTGACACTTGCGAGGAAGTTGAAGACGTGGCTGCCTGAAGTTTTCGAGGGTGGTCTGGATTGGTCCCCATCATTTGGGTGACCTGGGTGTGGATAGCCTCGAGTTCGCTTTCTCAGAGGCCTTGCTTCTCTTTAGAGGCATTGCTCGCTTTCTCAGAGGCCTTGCTTCTCTTTAGAGGCATTGCTTAGCCCTTCTTTTTCGTTGTTGGCACTGATGAAGGTCTGATAGGGTTTTTCCCCCGTGATAGGCCGAAACATGTTTGTCCCTGTTTTACTCTACTGCTAAGAATTTGGGTTATGAGATCGTTTTTTTGCACTTAGTTGTACACAGAGCGGAAATCTACTACTGTTTTTTCCTTTGCTTTAAGCCTACTGCACGCACGCAGCTCACTCAGCCTGTGTGTGGTTTTTAGGGGCCTAGGCTCCTTGGCAACAGTGATGAGACAGTTGTTATTATGTGGTTCCGTGGGTGCTGTAGGGGGACAGATGCTTCTATGAGGGCGTGCAGGGTGATTATACAGTGCTAAGGTAATGAGGCCTCCCAAGCACGACTCACCTGTCAGGGCTGGGATCCACAGCGATCAGAATGTTCCTGGAAGGTGTGGGCGAGGCTCTCGGCATGCTGGCAGTTCGGCGTAGACAGGTCTCAGGTCGGTGTAGACAGGTCACAGGTTGGTGTAGACAGGTCACAGGTCGGTGTTGACAGGTCACAGGTCGGTGTTGACAGGTCACAGGTCGGTGTTGACAGGTCACAGGTCGGTGTTGACAGGTCTCAGGTCAGTTTAGACAGGTCACAGGTCGGTCTAGACAGGTCTCAGGTTGGTTTAGACAAGTCACAGGTCGGTCTAAACAGGTCTCAGGTCGGTGCAGACAGGTCGGTGCTCTATCCTGGCACAGCGGCAAAGCGTTCAGAGCGGCAAAGTGCTAGCCGTCGTGTTGTAACCGAAAGCAAGGTGCTTCCGAAATGCACAACACGCAGTTCAAATGGCAACGGCAGCTTCAATATGAGCAGCAGTGGTAGCTTCAATGGCAGAATCAGCAGAAGCAGCAGGAGGTCCAGTTGCGGCCAGGTGCGAATGGCAATAGCATCAAAGGTGAGGCAGAGATGTTGTGATGACTAGTGGTGTTGTGTTGATGGAGCCTGTAGTTTAGTGAGTGGGAAGGGAAAAGGAGGGGAAGCAGGGGAAGGAAGATTGGACACGGGAATACAACGAGTTGGATAGTCAGTGAGCTGACGACATTCAGTTATTTGACGACATTCAGTGAGTCTCAATGAAGTCACATTCCGGATAAGTTCGAGACAGCTAGCTAAACACGAACGAAACGTAAGTGCGGAATGTAACGCATATGATTGTGCGCAACCATTCACAGCAGCGTGCGGAGAGCGAAAAGAAGCGAACAGCGAAGAAGCGAAGAAGGGAGCATCTTGGGGACGAACAGCAACGAGAAAATCGACGGCCTTGAATGCAGCATTGCTAACTTCAAACGTATAGCCAGGAGCGACATACCGGCGAAAAGACTCTTTCGCGAACGAGTAGCTGCACGCTGAACGGCGGATGATGAGGCACACGCTAAATGCAACCGATAGAGCTGATGGTCTATGAAGCTATCAAGCCTATGCAAAAGGAATTTTTGTTGCTGGATTACGGAGTGCGTCAGAACTGAGATGAGATGCTGGTTCTAGCAACATATAGGCGTCGCACGGTTGATGGGAGATTTCAAGATTCTGGTCTGGTCCACTATGGCCCCTGGGGTTGGCCTGTCACTGGATCTATTCCCAAAAGTTCTGTTCTGGTCTGTACTTGGCTCTGCTATGCACGGCAGTAACTTGTTGTCCTAGAAACAGTCTCAGGTTCCATTTCTCGTTACGGCTATCGCAGATTGATGTCATTATCGGGACGCCATCAGCCCACAGGGTGGAGTCCCGCGAGGAACTTCGCGTGACACGTGAACTGACAAAAGACTTCGTGTCGTCCGTTTGGCTGCAAAAAGGGGACGCCTGTCAGTACACTTCGGCATAATCTCGAGCTTGGCAGGTCAATCCGCGCTGGCTTTGAAAATTAATTCGCGACTGATATTTGCTGATGTGGCTCATGTGGCAGTGATATTTTTGCTTATGAATTTCAGTACCGTAGCCTTCGGACTCAGTAGTGGAACAAGGATTCCACATTACAACCACCTAGATTAGAATATGTAAAACCATCTACCGTATTCTCCCGGACAAAACACCCCCCCATAATTGTACACCCCCGGGTAGCTTGTGCGGGGTGGGTGTTATGGGGAGCCTCGTTTCTACTATACCCCCCTTTTTGCCTGATTCTCTATAAGACCCGGGGGGGGGGTGTTATGGGCGGCAAAAATACTGAATTTGCTTACTGTACATTGCATACAGGGTACTTTACAGGTACCGGTACTACAGAAGTAATGTGCCAGCACATAGGCATCGAAAATGTCACCTAGACTGCAGAAACATCACCACAAGAGCACCTCACATCCACAATTTCACCTAAAAAAACTCTATACAAAGTGCCTTCCACCCAGAATCGTCTCCTGCATGCCATTCTTCACAGTCTTCCCCGTCAAAGCGGCCAGGGCGCCACCATTCGTCATCGCTGGGCTCTTCTGCCTCCCCGCCTTCCTCAAGCACGCCCCCCTCCTCCTCTGCCGCCGCCGCTTCCGCGTCCTCCTCAGCGGCGTCAGCCTCCTCTGCCGCCGCCTGCAGCACCTCGGCCGGCATGGGGACTTCGGCGTAGAAGGGGTTGACGACGAGCTCGTCGTCAACCAGGTCGTTGACGTCGTCAAGGACTTCCACCTCACCCTTGTCCCGCATGTGGGCAAGGATGAGGTGGTCCTCGCTGCCATCGATGGGGGTGGAGATCCCACACGTGACGAACGCCTTCTTCACGAGCTCCTCTGGGATTGCTTCCCAGGACTCATCGATCCAGCGGAGCACCAACTCCGCTGGCGGCTTCTTGAGATTGCTTGAGGGACGGGGAAGGGTAGACAAGGACGAATGTGAATTTCCAGAGCGTAAGCTGACATTGATTAAAAGTCACGCATGCGAATGTCATGGTTCAACTCACCGCCCTTGGTGGTGGTGTTGATTCCTTCTTCTTCGAACCAGCTGCTGTAGCGATGACGCACACCGCACTTGAACGCACAGTTTATCGACACATCCAGAGGCTGCACTAGCGGGGTGCAGCCCCCTGGGATGACAGCCCGTGACAGCCGAAACATCCGCATGGTCTGCCCGACCGCCTCAGTCAAGTGACCGCGGTAGGAGTCGAGCACAACCAAGGCCTCCCTGCGGCGTCCAGTTGATTCACGCAAGGGCTTCAGAAACGGCACCATCACCTGGGTGATCCAGTCCTGCACAAGTGATTCGTCCATCCACCCTTTGTCTTGTGCACGGACCACCACACCTGCCAAAGAATACCGGTACGTCAGGGTCAAATTCGGTTGCGACTGTTGACAGGCTAGAGTAGTGACATCATCCTAAACGTGCTACGCTTACCGGCAGGGATGGGCACCTTCGGTATGGTCTTGCGCTTGAACACCACGTACGGCGGCAGCTTGAGCCCGCTCGCAGTTACTGCCAGCATGACAGTAACACGCTCCTTCTCATAGCCCGCACTCCGTACGTGAACCGTCCGCGCTCCCTTCATTTCGAGCGTGCGCTCCGCCGGCATCTCCAGGAAAAGCGGGGTTTGGTCCGCGTTCAAGATGAGGTCAAGCGGGTAGTCGTGCAGAGAGCGCATCTGGCGCACAAACTCCCAGAAGGACTCCACCTTGGCCTTGCAATCTGCAAGCAAAGCCACGAGACACATTAGCTCAGCACTGAGATGGCAATCAAGGAGCACGACGGCGCAACACTTACCCGCTGCCAACTTCTGTCCCATCTTCGTCTTCACCCGCCTTGCCAGATGCCAGCGCGCGCGGAAACGAGTCGCCCAGCGGAACGATGCGCGCCAGTTGACCCCGGGCATCCGGTGCTTCATGTAGTTGGCGCTCCACTTCTGGAGCATGCTGACCGAAACGACGAGCCCCCTCCCCCTGTGCTTGAGGAACTGGCGGTAGACCGCCCGTTCCATGAAAGGGAACTTGGACTTGCGGCCAGCTCCCATGAGGCGACGACGGCAGCTGGAAGAGACCTCCAGCCGCTCCCTCATCTTCTTCCAATCGCGGATATGGCATGGCTGCACCTTCGCGAGCTTCGCCAGGGCGCGATTCGACAGGTCGGGCTGCGAGTCCTGCATCTTCAACCAGTGGAGCTTCTCCTTCGCGGTGATTCCCTTGCGCTGGCGTTTCGTCATGCGATGGCGAGGGGATGGCGGGTCAGCATCGGCGTTGCGCTTCTGCTGTCCCTGCGGGCGGTTCCGCTCCGGGAACGTGGGGACAACCACTCGAGGAAGGGTAGGGCGAGGACGGTCCAAGCTACTGCTCGGTTCATCCCTGGTAGAAGCACTACCGGGAGCATCCGGCTGAGGAAAGATCGGGCGAGGAGACGCCCGTGCGCGTGCATAAGCGCTAGTCTGATTGGTGGAAACAGGCCGCTGCCGCCTATCTACCGTACTGCTAGAATCTGGAGATGAAGCCATGCTTGGGAACTAAGGTAGGTCGATGTCACTCGCCATGGGAGAAATGACTTTAAAGACGATACCCTCGTGCACAGGAAGGAGACGCTCTCACAGCCTGCCGAGCACTTGTCAAAGACGTGCACTGGAACCGCTTGACGAAGAGAAGGGCAAGCTTGGGTGAGGAAGCTTGGACATGACTACCGTACACGGCAGTCAAGGGGTCACAGGTACAGTGACAACACAGCGTGCGCGATTCCGGCCTCGTACTGCATGAACCCAAGCTGCGCGAGGTTGGCACTGATGTCAACCAATCAGGTGGCACAGTGGGCCCACTGGAATTTGCCATGTGGCAGATTCCAGTGGAGGCCGACGTTATCCTCGTAGACGCGGTTTGGCGGCCCTGATTTTAAAAATAATAACAAGGCCAGACCCCTGTTTTTGTTTCCATTCATTTCTGCTTATAAAAAAATGTGCAATATAATAAGACCCGGGTATTATGTATTTTTTTCCTATGAGGAGACCCCCCCCATTTTTTCCCTGTATTTTTAGCTATACCCTAGGGTGTTATGTCCGGGAGAATACGGTAATTTCCAATCATTAGAGATCAAGACGAACGCATAAAAAAAAAAAAAACTGAGATGCTGTAACATTTTACTACTGAGAATTAATCACATCCGCAATGATTGGAGCTGCTGCATGGGTTATAACTAATCAACGCACCGTAAATGACAGACCTCATGGGTTATTTCAAAGGTAATAGAGACTCACGATGCACTCATCCAAGCCCAGGGTAATGGGCATTCTGTATTTCCCTTATAAGCATCTCCTTTTCCTCCTCAAAATCTTCCTCCTCTGCAGGGGGGAAATCCAAAAGGAGAAGAGGGTTGAAATGAGCACTGGATGAAGCAACAAGAGAAGGAAAGAGGAAAGTAACAGAAGGTAAATGGGAAGGTGGTGAGGAAAGGCAAAGGGATGAACGATCGGTGAAAAGAATCCATAGGATGTAACATTGCGGAATCTTCCTAAATTGCATCACAATCCCATGAATCTGGCAACTTCAGGCGCCTCTATACACACACCTTTGTTCACCACCTTTGCACAGACACAAACACCCACCAAAATCAGGCACACACCACCTTCTTCCTGCACCATCTCAGGCACACACCTTTATCGATCTCTAAGTCCTTGAGGAATTTGACCATCTTCTCCTTGTTGCACGCACATGCATACACACACCTTTGTCAATCAGTGCCGCACACACACACACCCTTGTCTATCGTCTTAGCACACACCTTTGTTGATCTCAAAGTCCTTGAGGAACTTCACCATCTTCTCCTTGTTGCGCGCCAGCAGGGGGTTTTGCAGGAGGGACTTAGAGAATTACCTGGACGATGGACTTGAAGGATTGTGACCATCTTGGCACAACCAAACACCTTCCTCTATCAGCTTAGCCCATGCACACACCTTTGTCAATCTCAAAGTCTTTGAGGAATTTGACCATCTTCTCCTTATTGCGCGCCAGCAGCTTCACAATCTTCTCTGGCTTCCTTGGATTCGCCACAAAGATCTGTGCGGGGCGTTGGTGGGAGCCATGGGGGACTAAAGTGACTATCTTTTGTCATGACCAGTGATCTCTTGGATTCGCCACGAAGATCTGTGGGGGATGTAGGGTAGGTGGGAGCCATGGGGGACCAAAGCGACTATCTTTCTTTGCTGACAGGACCCAGCATACTGCTGCCATACTTCATGACCAGTGATCTCTTGGATTCGCCACAAATATCTGTGCGGGTTGTAGGTGGCAGCCAAGGGAAGTGAGGCAGCATATATAGTTTATTTTCTTCCTTTCTGATTTACTGTAGGTAGAGTTTATAATGTCTGACGATAGCATGTGGTGCAGAAAGAATAAGATGCACCATTGCTGAGGCAGCACAGCAGGGGGGCCATGCAAGAAACGTGCGTGCTGGACAGCAATGGAGAAAGACAGGGAAACAGCAGGACCAGAAAAGCAGCGCTGGAGATTGCTTAGAAGATGAACGGGGAGATGAAAATGAGCTGAGAGTTGAAGGATGGGAGAAGAGCACCTTAAATACGTGGAAGGCCTCGTATTGGATGGCTCTGCTGGGGTCCTGATGGTGGGTGGGGCGTGGTGGGGTGTGGTGGGGCGCGGTGGGGCGTGGTGGGCGTGGTAGGCGTGGTGGGGTGTGGTGGGGAATGCATGGAGCTGAGTGGTAGGACACGGCGTAATGGTGGTTGGTGAGTATGGGTAAACGAGCTACACCTTACCCTGATGACAGTCATCGTTATTTTAAAGTTGTGTGCATTTGATTTTCTTCACTCTTACCAAGCCCTCGCTCTGCAGCCCCCTGTGTCGCTTCTACAACCCTCCAAATTCGATGCAGATATAGGGTTGAGCGCCTTTGAGTTTTGAGGTGGTTGAAAATCCAAATATCTTGATGAGAGTCATCATGATTGGAACAGAACCTTCATGAGCGTCATCATGATCTTGAAGTTGTGTGCCTCTCTTAGCTTCTTCTAGATATAACCGAATCATTAAGCCCCTCCATATCCCTTTTAAGACCCGATTACCTTGATGAGAGTCATCATGATCTTGAAGTTGTGCGCCTCTCTTAGCTTCTTCTAGATAAAACCGAATCATTAAGCCCCTCCATATCCCTTTTAAGACCCGATTACCTTGATGAGAGTCATCATGATCTTGAAGTTGTGTGCCTCTCTTAGCTTCTTCTAGATAAAACCGAATCATTAAGCCCCTCCATATCCCTTTTAAGACCCGATTACCTTGATGAGAGTCATCATGATCTTGAAGTTGTGTGCCTCTCTTAGCTTCTTCTAGATAAAACCGAATCATTAAGCCCCTCCATATCCCTTTTAAGACCCGATTACCTTGATGAGAGTCATCATGATCTTGAAGTTGTGTGCCTCTCCGATGTATCGCATCATCACTTGCATGTTGGCCCGGTCTAGCAGCAGCTCCCCTAGCAGCTGATGGGAGTGGGTGGGAGTGAGAAAGCAGGGAGCAAGAGGGAGTGAGAGTGCAATGTACGCATCATCACTGGCATGTTGGCCCGGTCTAGCAGCAGCTCCCCTAGCAGCTGATGGGAGTGGGTGGGAGTGAGAAAGCAGGGAGCAAGAGGGAGTGAGAGTGCAATGTACGCATCATCACTGGCATGTTGGCCCGGTCCAGAAGCATCTCGCCCAGGAGCTGATCGGGGTGGGGCGGGTTTCAGCATGTGGAGTGTGTGGGCAGGTGGGAGTGGGGAGAGGGAAAGAGGGAGAGAGAGAAGGGAGATGCGTAGAGAGAGGACTGGTTGACCGCTTGTTGGCAAGGCAAATCATCTGTCAGGGTTTTTTTCCAGAATTCTCAACAATACCCTGCAGAAATGATGAGAGAGTTGACTGGTTGACCACTTGTTGACAATTTATGTTGACCGCTTGTTGACAATTTATGTTGACCGCTTGTTGACAATTTATGTTGACCGCTTGTTGACAATTTATGTTGACCGCTTGTTGACAATTTATGTTGACCGCTTGTTGACAATTTATGTTGACCGCTTGTTGACAATTTATGTTGACCGCTTGTTGACAATTTATGTTGACCGCTTGTTGACAATTTATGTTGACCGCTTGTTGACAATTTATGTTGACCGCTTGTTGACAATTTATGTTGACCGCTTGTTGACAATTTATGTTGACCGCTTGTTGACAATTTATGTTGACCGCTTGTTGACAATTTATGTTGACCGCTTGTTGACAAGGCAAATCATCTGTCAAGCAAGCGCACCTTGATTGCTTGTCTTCTCGTGACATAGTTGTCTGAGTTGAGTAGCAGATCAAAGCGCTTGAAGAACTGAAGAGCATTGGGTTGGTGGGGGTGATGGGGGTGATGGGAGCATGGCACATGTAAGAGCTTCGAGGGGTCGTGTCATCGGGGCAACACAGAGTTGTCTGAGTTGAGCAGCAGATCAAAGCGCTTGAAGAACTGAAGAGCATTGGGATCATGGGGGTGATGGGGGTGATGGGGGTGATAGGGGTGATGGGAGTGATGGGAGTGCGGAAGCATGGCACATGTAAGAGCTTCGAGGGATCTTGTCATCGGGGAAACGCATAGTTTTCCGAGTTGAGAAGCAGATCAAAACGCTTGAAGAACTGAAGAGCATTGGGGTAATGGGTTTGATGGGATTGTGGGAGCATGGCACAGTAAGTAAGAGCATCAAGAGATCCTGGCATCGGGGCAACGCATAGTTGTCCGAGTTGAGCAGCAGATCAAAGCGCTTGAAGAACTGAAGAGCGGCGAGGACGAGGTGCCATGAGGCTGTGGGGTGTGATGGGAATTTAGGAGCATAGCATGAGTAAGACATCTGAGCATCCACAGCATCATAGTTTTCAGTGTTGAGCAACAGATAGAAGCACTTGAAAACTTTAAGTGCCATGATGAAATGGGGTGATGGGGTGCTGGGATGCCCTCCTCCCCTCCCCTATCCCCCCTCTCCCTCCCCCCCTCCCCCATACATACATCCCCGTAGTGGATCATCAGAAACTCTGCTACCACAGACGGATGCAAAGACCACAGCCCGCACACCCCTTCCTTTTTCCCCTGGCCCCTCTCATCCTCGTGACAACTCACTACACTACTCCCCACCCCCTCCCCCTTCCTCCTCTTACATACATCGTCAAAGTTGGTCATCAGACACTCTGCTGCCACTGACGAATGCATAGACCGCAGCCCGCACAACCCCCCCTCTCCTCCCATAACCATGAATACGCTCATACAGCCCTCCCTTCCTTACTCCTACCCTTCCCCCTAACCCGCCCCCCGTACATACATCCTCGAAGTTGGTCATCAGAAACTCTGCTGCCACAGCCGGATGCTGCTTCAATAGGTCCTGCTCAGCTCGTGGGGGGACGGGAGGGAGGCGAGGGCGAGAGGGAGGGGCAGGTTGTGGGGAATGACTTTCAGAAATCTCGAAACTTTGCTGCCACAGACGGATGGTGCTTCAATAGCTCCTGCTCAGCCTTTGGGGAGAGGTGGGGGGGGGGGGGGGAATGGGATGGGAGGGCAAGGGGGAGGGGAGGGAGAGGGATGTGAGAAGTGTGGGCATGAATGTGTAATGGATCCTAGAATGTAGAATGGGAGGCGAAGTTGGTCATAAAAGATTCTGCCACCACAGACGGATGCTGCTTCAGCAGGTGCTGCTCAGCCCGTGGGGGGGGAGGGGGAGGGGGAGGGGGGAAGGGGGATGAGATGGGAGGCGAGGGGGAGGGGGAAGGGGAGGGGGAGGGGCAGGTTGTGAGGAGTGACTTTTGAGACATCTCAAAACTCTGCTGCCACAGACGGCTGGATGCTGCTTCAATAGGCCCTGCTCCGCCCGTGGGGGGATGGGACGGGAGGCGAGCAGGAGGGGGAGGTTCAAGATGAGGCGATTTTTGAGTCGACTCAAAAATCGCGAGCGGGAGGGGGAGGTTCAATTCAAGATGAGATAAGAGTGGGCATGAGGGTAGCATGGATTGCAAGAAGTGATTGTGGACAGGAAAGCCTCAAAAATCGCCTCAAGTGTGGGCATGAGGGTAGCATGGATCCTGAGAAGCTTTCTAGGTAGGTAGGACTGCAAGAAGTGATTGTGGACGGGAAAGCCTCAAAAATCGCCTCAAGTGTGGGCATGAGGGTAGCATGGATCCTGAGAAGCGATTTTTTAGTCGACTCAAAAATCGCCTCAAGTGTGGGCATGAGGGTAGCATGGATCCTGAGAAGCGATTTTTGAGTCGACTCAAAAATCGCCTCAAGTGTGGGCATGAGGGTAGCATGGATCCTGAGAAGCTTTCTAGGTAGGTAGGACTGCAAGAACGAGTTTCAGAGAGGTTGCTAGGTTGCTGAAATATCCTGCTGGGATGCTGCCAAGTGGCTGGGTGTCGCTTCAGTAGGTCCTGCTCAACCCAACCCTACCTCAGGTCAGGGCATAAAGTATCACTGGGTGGATGGTGTCTGTCTGTACCTTGAGGGAGAGCAAGGCGTGAGAGGCAATGTCAAAGGTGTGCAGGTCACATGGAGCTGTTGTTATGCAACACGGACTTAAGGCGCGGACCAATCACAGCCCACAATAATCCCAGCTGGTGGTGTTGCAAACGCACCTTGACTAAAAGAATGCGTCAGAAGCAATGTCAAAGTTCTGTGTAAAGACACAGGGTGGGTGCTGTTGTGGCGGTCACAGGGTACTCTTGTGCAGTAGCAGTTAGTGAGTCGTGACCCCCAAGGGAAGGCAATAGCACTGGGTGGTGACTGACTGTACCTTGAATGTGAGGTCCCACGGGTCCTCACTCATCGGGGAAGAGCAGCAAGATAGAGATCCTTATAGCAGTAGGATCAAAGCCTTGTAAAATCCGTCCACTAAACTGAATCCTCAGCTAAAGAAAAGGCTTGTGCAGGAACTCGTCTCTTGATTAAAACAAGACAAAGAAATGCACTGGGTGGTGACTGACTGTACCTTGAGAGTGAGAAATGCGTCAGAGGCAATGTCAAAGTTCTGTAGGTCACAGCCTGGCAGGGTGCTGTTGCGCAATAGGCCCGACAGAACACGCCCATGTAAAGGCATCAGCATCAGCTGCGGTTGCACATCGTACCTTGAGGGAGAGGAAGGCGTGAGAGGCTATGTCAAAGTCCTGACAGGGTATGTACTCTTGCGAAATAGCAGTACGTGACCCCGATAGCACTGGATGGTGAATAACACACCTTGAGGGTGAGGAAGGCGTCAGAAGCAGTGTCAAAGTTCTGTAGGTCACAGGTGCAATAGGAGCCGGTCTGAGAGGAGCTGTGGGGCTTACAGTAACGCACCGGGTTTTGAATAACACACCTTGAGGGTGAGGAAGGCGTCAGAGGCAGTGTCAAAGTTCTGCAAGTCACATCCTGGCAGGCTGTTGTTGTGCAATAGGCCTGACCTGACGCGCCCACCTCAAGGGCAGCAGCATCAGGCATCAGCTGGGGTTGCACAGCACAGCGCACCTTGAGGGTGAGGAAGGCGTCAGAGGCAGTGTCAAAGTTTTCTAGGTCACAGGGTGGGTGCTGTTGCGCAGTAGGGGCCGGGCCTGAGAGGAGCTGTAAGGCATAAGGCAATGCACTGTGTGCTCCACAGCACAGCGCACCTTGAGAGTGAGGAATGCGTCAGAGGCAGTGTCAAAGTTCTGCAAGTCACAGCCGCCCATGATGATATCGAGATTCGAGAACTGCAGCGTGTGGCTGCGAGGGCAGGGGAGGGGAGAGAGCGAAGGGGATGCAGAGTGGAGCTAAAACAGAAGAGCAGAGCAAAGTTCTGTAAGTCACAGCCGCCCATGATGATATCGAGATTCGAGAACTGCAGCGTGTGGCTGCGAGAGGAGGGAGAAGGAAAACAGGAGATGTGGAGGGGGCGTGAAGTGGGTGTGGAGGGGGTGTGAAGGGGGCGTGGAGGGGGTGTGAAGGGGGTGTGGAGGGGGTGTGAAGGGGGCGTGGAGGGGGTGTGAAGGGGGCGTGGAGGGGGTGTGAAGGGGGTGTGGAGAGGGTGTGGAGGGGAAGACGAGGGTAGAGAGAAAAGACCAAAATGAGTTGATCACAGGCGGCCATGATGCCCTATAGATTCGAGAACTGCCGCATTTGGCTGGCAGGGTGGGCAAAGGAGAGGGGAGGGCGGAGGGAGTGTGGAAGGGGTGTGTGGAGCAAAGGAGGAACAAGGAGAGCAGAGTGCTGCAGGTCACAGGCGTCCATGATGCCATATAGATTCGAGAACTGCAGCATGTGGCTGGCAGGGAGGGCGATTGGGGTGCATGGAAGTCAAATGCGGTGCAAAGAGGTCAGATGGGGCGCACAGAGGCATGGAGACGGGTTGCACTTTCTCTTTCTCCCACTCCTTCCCTTTCCCCACTACTTTCAGTCCCCAACCACTCTCTCCATCTCTCCATCTCTCCCAGGCAAGCACCCCTCCACTCCACAGAACGCCTTCCAATCACCCTCTGCTGCTTCAACACTCCTCTCTACACCTCTCTACACCTCTCTACGCCTCTCAATTCCTCTCTAGCCTCCTGTACACCTCTCCACACCTCTTTACCTGACGAGTTTTGGCGAGCGAAGGCATTCTCTCAGCATGAGACCCGAGTTCTGAGCAATTTCCTTCTGCTTGTAGCTGGGTGGGAAAGGGGGGAGCGAGGGAAGAGAAGGGAAGGGATGGGAGGGCGGGAAGGGAGGGGAGGGAGGAAAAGGAGGGAGGGAAGGGAGGGAAAGGAGGGAAGGAAGGGAGGGAAGGGAGGGAGGGAAGGGAGGGAGGGAAGGCCGAGCGGGAAGGGAGAGAGGGAAGGAGGGGAGGGAAGAAAAGGAGAGAAGGGAGGAGGAGCGAGAGGGGGAAGAAAGGGGTGTATCAGCCTGCCCTCACTCCGCGTGAACCCCGAATTATATGCGATGTCCTTCTGGTCGTAGCTGGATGGGGGAGGAAAGAAGGAAAGGGGAGGAAGCTAGGTAGGTAGTTGCGGAGGAATGAAGTGACTGGAGAGAGGGAAGAGCGGGACATATCGGCATGCACTTTCTCAACATCAAGCTCACCGCGTACAAGCTTATCCACCAGCCCCGTATGCCTCTCCACAAACTCCAACATCAGTGCTGGTCCCTCCTCCTCCTTGTCCTACCCAGGCTCTCGCTTACATGCTCTCTGACTCACGACAAGCCCCTGACTCACTACAAGTCAGTGACTCACAATAAGCGCTGTGCCTCGCCTCTTACTCACCCCCGCACTAGCTTTTCCACCAGCTCCGTGTGCTTCTCCACAAACTCCAACACCACTTCCGGTCCCTCCTCCTCCTCTTCCTCCCCACACCACGCCCACGCTTCGATGTCCTGACTCACCATAAGCCCCTGCCGGACTCTTGAAGTGTCACTGACTCGCTATAAGCCCCTCTCACTCACCCGCGTACAAGCTTATCCACCAGCTCCATATGCCTCCCCACAAACTCCAACACCAGTGCTGGTCCCTCCTCTTCCTCCTCCTCAGGCCCTCGTTTCTGTGCTCTGACTCGCCACAAGCCCCTATAAGTCCCTGACTCGCTATAAGCCCCTCCCACTCACCCGCGTACAAGCTTATCCACCAGCTCTGTATGCCTCTCCACAAACTCCAGTGCCACTGCCGGTCCCTCCTCCTCCTCTTCCTCCTGAGGCGCTCCCTTTTGTGCTCCCCCGCCCTCCCCTCCCTCCTCATCCTCATCGTCATCCTCATCCTCATCCCCCTTTGGTCGTCGCCTCTTTCCCCCATATGCAAGGAGGTATGTCCACACCAGCACCATTTCTTTGCGTGCCTGATGGTTAAAGGGATTACAGAGATTGCAGGGAATGCAGGGTTACTACCAGAAACCAAAATGGGTTTTACCAGTACCATCATTACTTAGACTACACGCTTATTACAATCACAGTCACTCGTTGCAGCCAAGAAATCCCTACACAGCTACAGGCACGCATTCATTTCAGTCACGCACCTCCCAGTCGGATACAGGCAGACCGACTCTGCTACAGCCGCCGCTACAGCTTCGTGATTAGACATGTGAATAAGCAAGGCCCCACGCACGCACCTCCCAATCGAAGACAGGCAGACGCGACACCAGCAGAGGCAGCAGGTCACACGTGACCGACTCCGCCTCTAGTACAGCTGCCGTTACAGCTGCCGCTTCGGCCTCGTGATTGGACATGTGAATAAGCAAGGCACCACGCACGCACCTCCCAGTCGAAGACAGGCAGGCGTGCCACCAGCAGAGGCGTGTCACACTTGACCGACTCCGCTACAGCCGCCACTAGTACAGCTGCCGTTACAGCTGCCACTACAGCCCCGCGATTGGACATGTGAATAAGCCAGGCACCACCCACGTACGCACTTCCCAATCGAAGACAGGCAGACGCGACACCAGCAGGGGCAGCAAGTCACACTTGACCGACTCCGCTACAGCCGCCGCTACAGCCTCTTGATTGGGCATGTGTATGGATGAGCCAGCCAAACAATTCATCACACAGCTAGCACCATCGTTGTTGTAACTACTACTACATACATGCTGATTAAAAGCATACAATCTTGCACACTAGTTACACTCAAGCTTTCCTTACATGCACACATTTATTCCAAAATCACACCTCCCAATCGAAGACAGGCAGACGCGACACCAGCAGAGGCAGCAAGTCACACTTGACCGACTCCGCTACAGCCGCCGCTACAGCCTCTTTATTGGGCGGCGCGTCCAGGTCGCCTATCAGCAGCACTCGCACTGTCACGAGGGTTTTCAACACCTCCTCTGCACTCTGTGGTGTGAGAATGAGGGAAACAACACATCGAGGAGGAAAAGAACTGCGCTGGCATGATTGAGCAGCGGCGGCGCGTCCAAATCACCTATGAGCAGCACTTGCACTGTGACGAGGCTCTTCAACACCTCCTCTTCACTCTGTGTGTTGGCGAGGTATCAGAGCAGAGATGTGGAGGGTAACGGGGGCACGGAGACACGGGGAAAAATCACACTGTTGCGTGACGAAAAATCACACGGGGAAAAATCACACTGAAAACCCTATGGGCATCACTCGCACTGTCACGAGGGTTTTCAACACCTCCTCTGCACTCTGTGGTGTGGGTAGGTGGGTTACAGCACGGGGAGAGGAGTGGGTGGGGGGTGACACGGGGAGGAACCACATTGTATCGTCCAGATTGCCTATGGGCAGCACTCGCACTGTCACCAGACTCTTCAACACCTCCTCTGCACTCTGTGACACAAATTTCACCGGGAGGTGGAGAAGGGGGGAGTTGCATTCGCGTCCAGATAGCGCCTGAGCAGCACTCGCACTGTCCTGTCCCCAGACACTTCAGTACTTCCTCTGCACTTTGTGACACAAAATTTCACAGGCAATAGGGGAGGTGGAGAAGGGGGGAGTTGCATTCGCGTCCAGATAGCGTCTGAGCAGCACTCGCATCGTATCGCACTGCACACTGTGAGAGGGGAAACACCTGGAAGGGGGGAACACGTGGAGGGGGGAAAACACACGGAGAGTGGGAACACATGGAGAGAAAATACATGGAAGAGGTCAACTCTAGTTCGCAGTGCCTCCAGGTCTCCTCCGCCTATCAGCAGCACATGCACTCTTATGAAACTCTCCACTTCCTTCTCGCACTCCGTGACTTCATCGTGCGCAGCAAGGTGGGTGAATGCGGGAGGTGGAAACGAAGGGGAGTGCCATTGTTGACGTGTCTGTCGCCTATCAGCATCCATCCCCCCTCCCATTCCCCCACCTCTTCCCCCGCTGTCTGCAGGCTCTTTAGCACCTCCTGTGCTGTTCCGCATGCGTGTTACCAAGGGAAAAGGGGATGTGGAGCTGGAGGGACTGGCAGTTTTGAGCTCTTCAGCGACCCTTCAGCCTTCAGAACAGTCTGGAATGGAAACTGGCAACCACAGAAAAGAAGGGGGAGATGCACTGACGGGTTTGTCGCCTACGAGAGGTATCCACACTGACTGAGGAACCACAGAAAGGAAGGGAGAGCTCTTCACCAGCTCGTTGCTGTGCTTGATGGGACGGGGAATGCGGAAACGAATTGCAATAATTTAAACATTATGTATCCCAAATAGTACGTGATATCAATAAGCTTAATGTACTCGATATGGTATGTTATACATAATGCATTTCACATGGCATGTTACATCAATAAGCTCAATGTACTCGATATGGTCAATGCAATGGTTGGTCAATGTCGTTAATGTGGTTAACACGGTCAACTTTCTTATAGATTCCGACATGGTCAATGTATGCAATCTGCTCGAAGTAAAGTAGTCTGGCGGAGCTGAAATCGCGTTTTCGCTTGCTCGCTCTTTTATCCTACAGACTGTTCTGTACTCGTGTCATACGCCTCCCATTGCGACACTATCTTCGCACAATTCGGCATTGCGACGCTGGCATTGCGACGCTCGCACTAATGTTCTAATCTACCCACCGTATCGTCTCGAGGCAGCGACTGCAGCCCATCTGCGAGCGCTCGCACAATCTCGGCTGGCGTTTTGGGCTTCGACATGAACCCGAACATTGTGACCGGCACTGCCGAGTCTAACCGTCTCCCTCCCGGCTAACTTCTGAGACGTCTCAAAAGGCTGGCGTCTTAGGCTTCGACATGAACCCGAACATGGTGACCAGCATTGCCGACTCCAACCGCCTCTTTTACGGCTAATGCTGTTGTATTGTAGCACCCACCTTATCGTCTCGAGGCAGCGTCTGCAGCCCATCCGCGAGAGCTCGCACAATCTCGGCTGGCGTTTTGGGCTTCGACATGAACCCGAACATGGTGACAAACGCTGCCGACTCTATGTGTATTCTTCTTTGTAAGCACCAACCTTATCGTCTCGAGGCAATGTCTGCAGCCCATCCGCGAGCGCTCGCACAATCTCGGCTGGCGCCTTGGGCTTCGACATGAACCCGAACATTGTGACCAGCACTAATGACTCTAACCGCCTCCCTCACGGCTGGTGCTGCTGAATTCGCTCACACGCGTCGCACGTTCGCTAGCACTCCGAAAGCTAACGAAATGCAACTCGCTACTGGGTGACGACTCTCTGAGTACCAATAGCAAGGGACTGTGTGGGGAATGTGTTTGTGTGGGATGAGAAACTACAAGTACAACAGTCACCGCGCGATAAAAGCATTGCAGTGCAGGCAGCATCCAGGTAGGACAATTTCTAGGTGAGTTTTTCAAGGGACAAATGGGGAGGGTAGTTGTTTGGTGGATGTGCAGGTAGGACAATTTCTAGGTGAGTTTTTCTGCTTGTTCAGCTGTACGGACAGATAACACGAGGCAATCGAGATTAAACGCCACCCAAACGTACCGCTCCATCACGTATCGAAATCTCATCCAGCCGCTTTACCGTGAGAACAAACGGAATGTGCCAGGTCATTTCATCTTGAGTTGACGTGACGATGCTGGTTACCGTGTGTAACATTCCACTAGTTTCAAAATCTTCACTTATGATCTCATATCGAATGGTACAAATGTGATGGCAGCATAATATTTTATATAACAATGAGTGCCAACATTACATCCCTTGAAAATATTCACAGGGTAAAGAATACAGTTCTACCCTAAGTTCATTAATCATATATACTCACATGATGCATGCTTTCTCATATTGATTTCACTTTCCTTGGAGATCATACATAGTGGTCATAAATATATCCCCAGGTCTGTCATACACGTTTTACCGACACTCCCAATGTGTCACTCTGATCCCCGATGTCCATGTGCCTCCTTGCTTACCTCATTCTCACCAGCATTTCCACATCCTACCCATCAGTCACATCACATCACAATGAATTTCACTCGCTTGAGCGAATTTTGGTCAGTCGCTCTCGTCTTAAAGCGACGGTGCAGAGATGGGTGCAGCAGGTGTCGTGTATATGGCAGCTGCGTCCTGCGCTCAGGTTGGTCCTATTGCTAGTTCTGGCTGTCGCGAAATTTCGGCTTTAGCGAATCCTGCGAGTGCGAATTTCGGCTGTAGCGAACCCTGCAAGTGCGAAGTCGGCTGTAGCGAACCCTGCATGTGCTCATTTCGGCTGTAGCGAACCTTGCATGTGCTCATTTCGGCTGTAGCGATCCCCGCATTAGAGATGACAAACTGACTGTACACCTGCTGTGTACGTACGTGTCCCTAGAAGCGTCTGATCACATCCTCATATTCATATTCCTTGGACTATATGTGTTTCCATGGCAACACCCCCATCCGCAACACCCCTTTCCCCCATCCCTAACCCCCCTCCTCCCCCCCCCTTCCCTCCCCCTTCCCTTCCCCTCCCCTCCCCCACCCTGCCACCTCTCCCCCACATCTTTCCTTCCTCACCTGCGTTCTTACCAATCCGACCCCCTCTCCCCCCATCCCCGTTAGGAGCATGTTGGCATGGTGTGCAGAGTTTCCTGCGCTGCACAAGCCTCCTACTCTTTCCTCCCCATCCCCGCTACAAGCATTGTGGCATCTTATGCAAAGTCTCCTATACCTCACCCGTCTCCTTCTCTCTTCCCCCCATCCCCTTTATAAGCATGTTGGCATGGTGTGCAGAGTCTCCTGCGCCTCGCCCGTGTCCTCCTCTCTCCTCGGTGCTCTCTGCATCGCTGCCGGCTCACTTGCCTCCGCACAGGTAAGGTTAAACAGTGAGGCTCGATAGTGAGTCTCGGCAGCAAGGCTTGAATCCCTGCAGAGAGGGTAGGCAGGGCACACATCCGTCTCCTCCTCTCTCCTCGGCGCTCTCTCCATCGCTGCTGGCTCCATCGCCTCCGTGCAGGTGAGGCTCGGCATTGAGGCTTGGCATTGAGGCTCGCCAGTGAGGCTCGCCAGCGAGCCTCGGCAGTGAGGCTCGCCAGTGAGGCAGTTGGCATGGTGTGCAGAGTCTCCTGCGCCTCGCCTGTCTCTGCCTCTCTCCTCGGTGCCCTCTGCATAGCTGCTGGCTCCCTCGCCTCTGCCCATGTAAGGCTCGGCAGTGAGGCTCGGCAGTGAGGCTCGGCAGTGAGTTTCGGGAGTGGGGGCTCAAGTTCAACTCAGTAGCAAATGATTTAACCAAGGCCCAACTCAAGTAGACAGGGCAGAGCACAGTGGGTAGGGCAGGTAGAATTGTATGGGGTATCTTACCCCATAACATCCCATCCCATGCCCTCACTTCCCCTTCCAACCCCTCCCTTCCCAGCCCCCCCCCCCATCCCATCCCATCCCCACCCCAACACATGCTACCACCACACCACAACCCACTCAACGCCATTCGACCTCACCTGCTGCCTGCAGGCCTCACAGGTGGTTCACGCAGTCTTTCACCCATCTCAGCAACAATCGTCTTACCAGCCCATTCCATCCCAATTCCTCCCATCCCCTCTCCACCCATCCGACCCCACGCCACCCCACCCCACCTCACCCCACCCCAATCCACCACATGCAGGCTTCACAGGTGGTGCATGCAGCCTTTCACCCGCCTCAGCAACAATCAACTCACCACCCCAACCTAATCCATCCCATCTCCTCCCACCCCACCCCACCCCACTTCACCACATTCCACCGCATTCCACTGCACCTGCTGCATGCAGGCGTCACAGGTGGTGCACGCAGCCTTGCACCCGCCTCAGCAACAATCAACCAACCCACTCCGCCCTTGATGACCCAACCACGCCAAGGCAGCAGCAGCAGCAGCAGCGGCAGTGGCAGCTGTCAGCAGGGCACAAGGGGGACAGCGCACGGCGTATGGGGACTGTGGAGTGGCAGTAACAGTGGCAGTAGCAGCAGCAGGGGGGACAGAAACAGCAGCAGCGGTACTGACAAGCCCACAGGGCTAAGAGAAGGAATGGAGAGGGCACAGAAGGGTTTGGCAGACATGAGATGGCGGGCGGCGGATGAGCTGGCACGCCATGATTGGCCGAGCCTCTCCAGCATTGACCAGTGGCATAGCATGTCCCCTAGGCAAGCGGCAGCGCATGTGGTTGTGGGACTGCTGGCGTTCAAGGTGGGTGTGCTCACACTTGTGCTGGCTTGGGCTTGGATTATGACGCGGTAAAAGTGCTTGATCGGGGGAATATCGATCCGGCCACCGCACTGAACTCCCGCGTTTCGCATACGAAAAGTACACAACCTTTTACAACCGCGTTAGAAAACGAACCTGAGGCGATCGATCCGACACTTTTACCGCGTCCTTAGACTGGTGGCCTGCCTGTTGAAATCACTTTTGCGAATTCTGGAAAGTGATTTCAACATAGATTGGTGGTCTGCCTGTCTTGTCGCCGCGCCAAGCAGCATTGCATGTGGTGGTGGGGTGGGACTGCTGGCGTTCAAGGTGGGTGAGCATCTGAGAGCTTTTGAGACCATGCAGTCCGTCAGCTTGCATTGCTGTCCTTGACCTATCATCCGTCTCTTCAAGGGATGTGACATATGGTCGGTCTCTTCACATGCTGCCTCTCTTCTCCCTCTACATGGCTCCACGTTTTTCTCACAAATTCCTGTCTCTCACGCCTTTAATTCTCACACCCCTCCCTCACACCCCTCCCTCACACCCCTCCCTCACACCCCTCCCTCACACCCCTCCCTCTCACACCCCTCCCTCACACCCCTCCCTCACACCCCTCCCTCACACCCCTACTCTCTAAGATGCTAGGTGGTCGCTTCTGTAACCTCATGCCCAGCGACGTGCCGAAGCGAGGTGCCTTCGCCTCCTCCCTCCCAGGTGCGTGTGCTGGGGTCATGCACAAGTGTAAATCCCACCCTGCCAGGTACACGTTCGCACTCGCAAGTTTATTACCCACGCTCTACAGGTAAGCTCTGCCAGGCACACCGTGCCCTCCCCCTGCACGCACTCACAAGCACAGCACAGCAGGTACGCCCTGTCCTCGCCCAGCACGCACTCACAAGCACAGCACAGCAGGTACGCCCTGTCCTCGCCCAGCACGCACTCACAAGCACAGCACAGCAGGTACGCCCTGTCCTCGCCCAGCACGCACTCACAAGCACAGCACAGCAGGTACGCCCTGTCCTCGCCCTGTATGCACTTGCATCACGTCGGCTGCCACCACTGCAGCACAAGAGCCTTCCCTGCATCCCTTCCCTCGCTCTCTTCCCCTTCAGCCAAGGGCAGCAAGTACGCCAGTTTTGAGACGTTTCAAAACGTCTCAAAACGCCACAGGGAACTCACAGTGGCTCATCAAAGACCTCTTCCATCGCTTCGGCTGCCATCATTGCAGGACACGAGCCTTCCTCTTCCCTCCCTCTCCCTCCGCTTCCTCCCTCCCTCTCCATGCAGCCAAGGGCAGCAAGTACGCCACGGGGAACTCAAGGGGTCTCATCAAAGACCTCTTCCATCGCTTCGGCTGCCACCACTGCGGCACACGGCGGGGCGACTGGTGAGTGCTGGCTGCTGCTGCTGCTGCTCTTGCCAGAGGAACTGGGGAGGAAGGTGTGTGTGTGGGGGGGGGGGGTTGTTTAAGCATGATCAAGGACATGTTTCATCACTTTGGCTGCCACCACTTTGGTGCAGCAGCAGCAGCAGCAGCAGCAGCAGCAGCAGCAGCAGCAGCAGCAGCAGCAGCAGCAGCAGCAGCAGCAGCAGCAGCAGCAGCAGCAGCAGCAGCAGCAGCAGCAGCAGCAGCAGCAGCAGCAGCAGCAGCAGCAGCAGCAGCAGCAGCAGCAGCAGCAACCAGCACGTCCCCACCAACCGGGACGTGCACGGGGCTGGATACAATACCACCAGCCTTGTCGTCCCCCACTCTCCACACCTCACCTCCCCCTCCCTTCCTCTCTTCTCCATATCCTCTACCTGTCATCCTTCCCCTCCCAGCATATAAGACCACATCCCCACCAACCGGGACGTGCATGGAGCCAGATTCCACAGCCCAAACTGCCACTTGCAGTCCCCATCCCCAGGCCTCTCCCCTCCCTTTTCCGCTCCCGCTCCGTATGCTCTCTCTTTTCGTCTCCCTCGCAGCATAGCAGACCACATCCCCACCAACCGGGACGTGCACGGAGCCAAATGGATGGAGCGGTCCAAGAAGACTCGCACTCAACCTGCCTCCACCACAATTACTCCTACTGCCACTGCTGCCACTGCTGCCACTGCTGCCACTGCAAGCACTGCACCCGCTGCTAGCACTGCTAGCACTGCTACCACTGCAGCCACTCCAGCTTTGAAAGCTTCGAAGAAACCTACATCCTGGCCTGCCAAGATCATGCCCCTGGGCTTACTGCGATTGTTCCGTCCTTCCACATCAGTCGAAGGAGCAGGAGCAGGTGCTGGTGCAGTCGCTGGTGCAGTCGCTGGTGCGGGAGTAGGAACAAGCACCGCAGCCAGTGCCAAACAGGCTCGGCCCAAGCCTGCTGCCAAGCCTGGACGCATGCCTCGGGTTTCGTCCGCTTCCACTTCGTCTTCCTCCCGCCTCTCTAGATCTCCCAGTATGAAGCATCGAGCACCTATTGTGCAGCGCTCTCCTAGTCTCAGGCGCCAGGGAAGCACAAGGAGGACAGAAACAAACACCGGAAAGCCAGGCAGCGGCGAGGGGAAGGGGGAGGACAGGGCGAGAGGGGGGGGAAAACGAGGGACGGGGGGTGCAAAGCAGGGTGCTGAGGAAGGGGGTTCAGGAGCTGCTAAGGGAGGTATTTTCGGATGGCTTGGGCTGGGTCCTGGCCACGCAGTGAGGGAGACGCAGAGGCAGCGGCTGTACCCGCAGTGTGCGGGTTGCTCTGCACGCCAATCTTCTGCCGTGCGCAATCAGCGTACGCTCGTGTTGCATCGACGGTCCGGATGGCCCTCGGTGAGTCTCAGCTGAAATCCATCCAGACTGTTGGTTCAGTACGAGGGCGGTGGGAGGAAGGCCGCATTCACACCATCTCTTTTTGTGTAGGTTGATTCTGAAAATTCTCAAAACCAACCTACGAAAAAAAGGCCGCATTTACGCAATCTCCCCTCCCTGCAACCATGCAATCTCAGCGCCATCACATCCCTCCCTCTTGCCGTCCAGCCCTGCCTCTCTGATGGATTCTTCCTTCATCCACAACTGATGGCTCAAGGACAGGAGACTTTCGTATCAACTCAGAAGTATCCGAAACTTCTTCACAGGAGACCTTTCTTTCCCACCAATCCATCCCTCCCCCCCCCTCTTGCTTTGCAGCCCTACCTGCTTGGTGGGTTCTTCCTTCATCCACAATTGATGGCTCAAGGACAGTAGACAGTTGATATGACTGGTAAAAGATAGGTTGCTGTGCAAAACGGGCAGGCAGGTACGGTGGGCTGTATGGTGATGGTGTGGTATTGCAAAACAAGTGTTAAAACTGTTACCGGAACAAGCTTTCGCTGTAGGCACATATTAATGTGCAGACAAGTCTTTGTAAGCGCATCTTGAAATGCAAGCAAGCTTTCCCTGTGTTTAGCTTCAAAAACATTAGATACACTAACGTAAGTTTGAGCGCTCTCGGTACAATTTAAGCACTACTGAAGCCTAGCAGATTCGCAGCAATTTGTCGAGCAGACAGTCGGGAACCAGCAAACCCTACTGCTGCTGATGGTGCCAATGCTAGTTCTGCTGATGATGATGATGATGATGATGATGATGATGATGATGATGATGATGATGATGATGATGATGATGATGATGATGATGATGATGATGATGATGATGATGATGATGATGATGATGATGATGATGATGATGATGATGATGATGATGATGATGATGATGATGATGATGATGATGTGGATGGTGAGAGAGTGGACGGCTGGGAGTGCGAGTGTGCGAAGATCATGTGGGGGTAGAGAGAGAGCGGGCGGCTGGAGACGAGGGCGGCGTTTCTTGTCATGTTGTGGTGGTGGGTGCAGAGGGATGCTGATGGCTGTGGCGGGCTGGTGGGAGGGAGACAGAAGAGGAAAGGGGAGAGGGGAGGGGAGGGGAGGGGAGGAGAGGAGGGGTTTTTAACACGAGGTGACTTTTGAGTCGACTCAGAAGTCAAGTTTTGAGACGTCTCGTTTTGAGATTTAGTTTTGAGACGTCTCAAAACAAAACAAGTTTTGAGACGTCTCAAAACTAAATCTCAAAACTTTTGAGACGTCTCAAAACTAGGGGAGGGGAGGGGAGGGGAGGAGAGGAGGGGGTTTTTAACACGAGGTGACTTTTGAGTCGACTCAGAAGTCACATTGTGGTGGTCCTTGCAGTGGGATGCTGACGGCTGTGGTGAGCTGGTGGAGAGGACAGAAGAGGAAGGGGGGGTGGAGGGAGGGGAGGAGAGGAACTGAGTGAGGATGGTTAGTAGGGGGGGAATCGGTGGTGGTGGGGCAATTCGAGGAGGGGGAGCGGGGAGAAATGTGAAAAAAGCGACGACGGGCAATGTCGGGGGAAAGAGGGCTGATGACGACGATTGAAAGGGGGGAGCGGAAGGGGGGGTGGGGGAAGGAGAGGTGGGGGGAGGAGGAGGGGAGGAGGGGAGAGGGGAGGGTGGAGAAGGGGGGAGGGAAGAAGGATGGGGCAGGATGTGGGGGAGAGATTAAGGAAACGGAACGAGGATGGAAGGAAAGGAAGCAGGCACGAGAAACGGGAGCAAGGTGGCAAGAAAGAATCGACGAGGGGGAGAAAATGAGGGGGAGAGAACGAGGGGGAGAGAACGAGGGGGAGAGAACGAGGGGGAGAGAACGAGGGGGAGAGAACGGCGCAAAGCAGCCAAGCAGGCAGAGAAGGAACTGAGAGACTGGAAGGAGCGAATGGCATTCTGAATCACTTTTGACAACTTTTAGGAGAGAATGGCTTTAGGCGGCGAAGCGTGCAGAGGAGGAACGGAGAGGCTAGTAGAAGTCGCGTGCCGCGTGTCTCACGTTGTCGCATGATGATCAAAAGAAGATTGCCACGTGTCAGCCTCGCAGGCTACCAGCTATCAATTCAACGCAGACCTAACGAGTATGACCAATCATGTTGTGAGACCTCTCAGAAAACATAAGATCGGTTTAGGAATTCATGTTCTCTTCTGCCTGCCAACGCATTCCCGCCGGCGCGAATTTCCATCGTCAGAGCGCAACTGCCAGACGGCGTGACGGCTAACCGTCCCTGACGGTTAAGCGGTCTTATCCGGACGGTAACGTTACCAGCTGGCCGATCCGACCGTCATAAGACCCTCCTGACGGCGATATCCGTGTGAAACCCCTGGCGCTGCTTGTGCTTGGGGTTCGTCGCGCACACCACGTACACCCGCCCTCGCTATCGCGCTGCACCGCGCTGCACAGCACGGCACAGCCCGCGTTCTAGACGACACCGCGCTGCACCGCAACGCACCTTACGACACCGCACTGCACCGTGAGCTTACCCATCTACGGTCTCGGTGTGGAAGCCCTGCCGCTGCTTGTGCTTGGGGTTCGTCGCGCACACCACGTACACCCGCCCTCGCCGCCGCACCACGCGGCACGCCTCACACAGCCTCTTCACCGACGCGCGAACCTTCATCGCGAGAGTGTCTTTCGGTGCTGCTTACGCTGCTGCTAATCGCGCTGCGAGAACTAACTTATGTTATAATCCAGCCAGACACTTCTGCTTCTGCAGTAACCGTGTTGCAAAGGTTGAACACTTAGAAAAAAAAGGTACATCTGTGCTACACATTCGAACGTAACTAAAAAACGATATTACAAGAAACGTGCACCCGTGCAAAAAAGGAGTTAGTTTACTTATTTGCTAGCTGTTATTGAAAGAAAACAAACTATAGAGTTTTCAAAACCCGACTTTCGTGTAATCTCCTTGCTTCATTCCACATGTTTGCTTTACTTCACACGTGTTCGTGATAAGGACAATGCTCTCATCCATTGACGAAATTTCATAAAACAACCTCACAACTTTGTCGAGCACTAGCCAACCATAAGTACCGTACTTCCTCCTGGGCTTTATCCGGCTTGGAGTTCCTGCTGCCTCCCAAGAAACCGCATCTAAGCAACGAGCTTACCCAAGAATTTGGGAAAGTTAACGAATCAAACTGGTGGTTATGTGGCGGCATGCTTGCTCAGGTTGTGCTGCTTCAGGCCTTCTTCAGACTTGAACTTCCTGAGAGGCCACAGTGTGTGCAGGGGGTTGGGAGGGGTTGAGAGGCAAGAGAATGTGAGCCTGTGTGTGCTGCTTCAGGCCCTCTTCGGATTTGAACTTCCTGGAGAGCCAGTGCATGGAGACGGGAGGGAGTGAGCAGGAAGAGAGAGGGGACACTGAACGAATCAAACTGGTGGTTATGTGGCGGCATGCTTGCTCAGGTTGTGCTGCTTCAGGCCCTCTTCGGACTTGGAACTTCCTGAGAGGCCACAGTGAATGGAGGGAGGGAGTGAGAGGGGAGGGAGTGAGAGGGGAGAGAGCGAGAGGGAAGAGAGCGTAGGTCTGTGTGTGCTGCTTCAGGCCCTCTTCGGACTTGAACTTCCTGAGAGGCCACAGTGCATGGAGGGAGGGAGTGAGAGGGGAGGGAGTGAGAGGGGAGAGAGCGAGAGGGAAGAGAGCGTAGGTCTGTGTGTGCTGCTTCAGGCCCTCTTCGGACTTGAACTTCCTGGAACGCCAGTGTATGGAGGGATGGAGGGGGAGGGAGTGAGAGGGGAGAGAGGGAATGAGCGGGAAGAAAGTGTGTGTCTGTGAGTGCTGCTTCAGGACCTCTTCGGACTTTAACTTCCTGAGAGACACAGAGCATGGAGGGAGGGAGGGATGGAGGGAGTGAGAGGGGAGAGAGCGAGAAAGTGGTTTCCACACATTTCACACTTCCTGAAAAGTCACCTTGCAGCAGCAATCCACCAAACTAGCCATCAACAAACTAGCCATCAACAAACTAGCCATCAACAAACTAGCCATCAACAAACTAGCCATCAACAAACTAGCCATCAACAAACCAGCCATCAACAAACTAGCCATCAACAAACTACCAAACTGACCGAGTTCTACAGCCAGACGAGAAGTACAGATAGGGACACCGAAAAAGAGGTACAAATAGAGGCACTCACTTGTTGCACGCTCCGCACACAATTCCGCCTTCAGGAGTAGCTGCCTTGGCTGCTTTCGCCTCTTCAGCCGGCGTTGAACCGTCCTTAGCAGGGGTGCTGCCTGCCGTTCCTGCCTTGGCTGCTTTCGCCGGAGTGGATGCTTTAGCAGAGGAGGCGGCAGGAGCTGCTTTGGCGAGAGCAGAGGCGGCTTTGGCTAGCGTGGCGCCGGGAGTGGGGGGGTTCGGCACTGGCTTGGCTGGGGTTGGGGCCGGGGCGCGGGGGACAGGCGTAGTTGCTGGCGTGGTGGGCTGGGGGGAGAGGGTAAAGGAGGGGAGGAAAAGGACAATGAAGAGAAGATCATATCATCTGACCAATCTTCTAAAAACCTGTTGTACATAGCACCCCATTCATATAACATCCCAACACACACTGAATATAACATCGGACATGGGATGTTTGTGTTCACATGGGGTGTTGGGGTGAACACGAACATCCCATGTCCGATGTAACATCCCATCTCCGATGTAACATCCCATGTCCGATGTAACATCCCAACACCCCATGGTATGTAACGTCCATTCACATGAACATCATATGCCACCCCATGGAACTGCATCACCACAGGATGATATCACATGACATCTCACGAGCATATTTCACAATCCACACAACATCCCATAAGCACATCTCACCGTTGCCTTATCTTCCTTGCCAGGAGTCCCCTCCTCCTTCCCCTTCTTCCCCCTTCTCCTCTTCCCCTTCCCCTCACCTGCCTCTCCCCCAGGCGTCCCCTGTCCCGCCTCCTTCTCACTGCCCTCAATCTCCCCCGCTTTCCTCTTCCCATCCACACCATTCGCACTCCCTGCCTTCGCCCCTTCTCCGCCTTTCTCCCCTACTCCTCCCTTGCTCCCTTCGCCTGCCTCTTTCTCAGCCTTCTTCTTCTCTTCTTGTGCTGCTGTGAGCTTTGCCAGCACAGCTGCTGCCTTCTGAGCCTTCTTCGCTTCTGCATTGGGGACGAAGAGGGGGGGAGGCGTTATGAGGAGGCGGGGGCACGAGAGAAGGTGCTGCTCTTGCTGCTGCTGCTGTGAGCTTTGCCAGCATTGCTGCTGCCTTCTTGGCCTTCTTCGCTTCTGCAATCGGCAAAAAGGGACGAACTGGGGGACACGAGGTGGGGGGGCGGTCATGGGGAGGCGAGGGCAGGAGCAAAGGTGCTGCTGCTGCTGTGAATTTTGCCAGCATTGCTTCTGCCTTCTTGGGCTTCTTCGCTTCTGCCATCAGGGAGAGATGGAATGGGGGAGAAGAGAGGAAAGAGGACGATAAGAGGAAGGGAGGAGAAGGGACGAATTTCCATCTCTGCCATCAACTCAAAACGAATGGGGGAGACGAAGGGAGGGATGGAATGGTCGAGGTGACTTTTGAGTCGACTCAAAACGAGGTGACTTTTGAGTCGACTCAAAAGTCTTCGTCGCTTTTGCCATCAGGAAGAGATGGAATGGTCGGGAAGAGACGAATTTCCTTTGCTGCCTCTTCTTCCTCCACTCCTGTGCTGCATTTCCGAATGCCTATCACATCGAGTCGACTCAAACAAGCACGACTCACTCTTCGTGGCTAGCTCTGCCTGCAGCGCTGCTATCTCCTGTGCCGCGTCTTCTTCCTCCTCTCCTGTGCCGCGTCTTCTTCCTCCTCTCCTGTGCAGCTTGTTCAGATAAAGCAACTGAAACGAGCAACACTCCCGAGGAGCACTCACTTTTCGAGGCTAGCCCCGCCTGCAGCGCTGCTATTTCCTTTGCTCCTGTACGGTTCTGTATAGTGCATCGCTCGCTGTCTGCGTGATGATACCAAATACAACTCCCTCACTCAGACAGACTCACACCCAGACGCACGACTCACTCTTCGTGGCTAGCTCTGCCTGCAGCGCTGCTATCTCCTTTGCTCTATCGCCTCTTCTTCCTCCTCTCCTGTGCTGCTTCTTCAAATACATATTTCAGCAACTGAAACAAGCAAGGCTCCCTGACAGTGGCACTCACTCTTCGTGGCTAGCTCCGCCTGCAGCGCCACTATCTCCTTTGCTCTATCGCCTCTTCTTCCTCCTCTCCTGTGCTGCTTCTTCAAATACATATTTCAGCAACTGAAACAAGCAAGGCTCCCTGGCAGTGGCACTCACTCTTCGTGGCTAGCTCTGCCTGCAGCGCTGCTATCTCCTTTGCTACATGGCCTCGCCTCTCCCCTGCTAGTTCTGCAGAAACCACCTCACTCACTCAGACTCCAACAAGCAAGACTCATTTCGACCAACTCACTTTTGGTGGCCAGCTCCGCCTGCAGCGCTGCTATCTCCTTTGCCGCCTCCCTCTCAATCGCCTCCTCGTCCTCCTCTTCTTCCTCCTCCTCTTCCTCATCCTCCTCAATATCAGCAAACGGGTCCTCATCGGCCTCTGCAATCCCGGGAGAGAAATTAAAACGATAAAAAGAAAGCAAACAACATCTTAAAAAAAAAAAACAACAACAAACAAACAAACAAACAAAACCAATAAAAAACAAAAAGTGCCATGAAAGCTTCAGAGAATGGCCGTTCTCACAACTACTGCACCTTACCACCTGGTTCTTCTCCCCCTAACCCCCATCCCTTCCCTTCCCTTCCCTTCCCGATAGGCGGTCTATGGGGTCTTAGGCATGTGTCTTACCTCCCCCATCCGGATACTCCTGCATCGTCTTGTATCCTCTCAAGAACACACTCCCCGTGCCGTCATGGGCCAAAGAGAACGGCCGTTCCAACACCAACTGCACTCTCGCCTGGTCCTTCTCCCCCCCATCATCCCTCCCATCCCTTCCCTTCCGGTCCCCATAGAGGGTCTAAGACGTACCTCCCCCATCCGGATACTCCTGCATCGTCTTGTATCCGCTCAAGAACACACTCCCCGTGCTGCCATGAGCCAAACTGAACGGCCGTTCCAAAACCAACTGCACTCTCGCCTGGTCCTTCTCCCCCGCTTGCAGCACTGCCACCACCACGCTGTACCCCTCTGCACTCCCGTCCTTGCCCTTCAACTGCTCCTCCTCCTCCTCGTCACTGTCGCTATCAGTGGGTGGGGCGGTGGTGAGTGTGATGGCCACTCGCTCACCTGCCTTGGGGGAGGGGCCTAGAGCGACCTGCAAGAGAGAGAATTCAGAGATGATGAGAGAGGGAAGAGAGCAGGATAGGCGAAGGGGGGAAGTTTTGAGATGTCTCAAAACATCGCTTTAGGGGAGGGGCCTAGAGCGACCTGAGAGAGAGAGAGAGAGAGAGAGAGAGAGAGAGAGAGAGAGAGAGAGAGAGAGAGAGAGAGAGAGAGAGAGAGAGAGGACTTAGCCTCTGCCCTCTGCCTCTGCCCTCAGTCCCTAGCTATATAAGTGTCCCGTGGAGACCTCTTTTCTTCATTAGTTCATTTGGTTCCAGTTTTCGTAGGCGCTCGCGCTGGCGGCCTTCGGCCGCCAGCACTCGCGTGCGCGGCCTGCGGCCGCGTGCTTTTGGGTGGCAAAGACTAGAGGTAGGACAGATATAGGCACACACGGCAAGACAACTATGGGCAATGTGCCCACCTTCTAGACACCGAGATGCAACAGGTCTACATACGGCGGGTGCCTGAGGCTACATCAAGTGAGTCGACTCAAAAATGGTCCACTAACCAACGCATGAGTCGATTTTTGAGTCGACTCAAAAATGGTCCACTAACCAACGCATGAGTCGATTTTTGAGTCGACTCAAAAATGGTCCACTAACCAACGCATGAGTCGATTTTTGAGTCGACTCAAAAATGGTCCACTAACCAACGCATGAGTCGATTTTTGAGTCGACTCAAAAATGGTCCACTAACCAACGCATGAGTCGATTTTTGAGTCGACTCAAAAATGGTCCACTAACCAACGCATGAGTCGATTTTTGAGTCGACTCAAAAATGGTCCACTAACCAACGCATGAGTCGATTTTTGAGTCGACTCAAAAATGGTCCACTAACCAACGCATGAGTCGATTTTTGAGTCGACTCAAAAATGGTCCACTAACCAACGCATGAGTCGATTTTTGAGTCGACTCAAAAATGGTCCACTAACCAACGCATGAGTCGATTTTTGAGTCGACTCAAAAATGGTCCACTAACCAACGCATGAGTCGATTTTTGAGTCGACTCAAAAATGGTCCACTAACCAACGCATGAGTCGATTTTTGAGTCGACTCAAAAATGGTCCACTAACCAACGCATGAGTCGATTTTTGAGTCGACTCAAAAATGGTCCACTAACCAACGCATGAGTCGATTTTTGAGTCGACTCAAAAATGGTCCACTAACCAACGCATGAGTCGATTTTTGAGTCGACTCAAAAATGGTCCACTAACCAACGCATGAGTCGATTTTTGAGTCGACTCAAAAATGGTCCACTAACCAACGCATGAGTCGATTTTTGAGTCGACTCAAAAATGGTCCACTAACCAACGCATGAGTCGATTTTTGAGTCGACTCAAAAATGGTCCACTAACCAACGCATGAGTCGATTTTTGAGTCGACTCAAAAATGGTCCACTAACCAACGCATGAGTCGATTTTTGAGTCGACTCAAAAATGGTCCACTAACCAACGCATGAGTCGATTTTTGAGTCGACTCAAAAATGGTCCACTAACCAACGCATGAGTCGATTTTTGAGTCGACTCAAAAATGGTCCACTAACCAACGCATGAGTCGATTTTTGAGTCGACTCAAAAATGGTCCACTAACCAACGCACGAGTCGATTTTTGAGTCGACTCAAAAATGGTCCACTAACCAACGCATGAGTCGATTTTTGAGTCGACTCAAAAATGGTCCACTAACCAACGCATGAGTCGATTTTTGAGTCGACTCAAAAATGGTCCACTAACCAACGCATGAGTCGATTTTTGAGTCGACTCAAAAATGGTCCACTAACCAACGCATGAGTCGATTTTTGAGTCGACTCAAAAATGGTCCACTAACCAACGCATGAGTCGATTTTTGAGTCGACTCAAAAATGGTCCACTAACCAACGCATGAGTCGATTTTTGAGTCGACTCAAAAATGGTCCACTAACCAACGCACGAGTCGATTTTTGAGTCGACTCAAAAATGGTCCACTAACCAACGCATGAGTCGATTTTTGAGTCGACTCAAAAATGGTCCACTAACCAACGCATGAGTCGATTTTTGAGTCGACTCAAAAATGGTCCACTAACCAACGCATGAGTCGATTTTTGAGTCGACTCAAAAATGGTCCACTAACCAACGCATGAGTCGATTTTTGAGTCGACTCAAAAATGGTCCACTAACCAACGCATGAGTCGATTTTTGAGTCGACTCAAAAATGGTCCACTAACCAACGCATGAGTCGATTTTTGAGTCGACTCAAAAATGGTCCACTAACCAACGCATGAGTCGATTTTTGAGTCGACTCAAAAATGGTCCACTAACCAACGCATGAGTCGATTTTTGAGTCGACTCAAAAATGGTCCACTAACCAACGCATGAGTCGATTTTTGAGTCGACTCAAAAATGGTCCACTAACCAACGCATGAGTCGATTTTTGAGTCGACTCAAAAATGGTCCACTAACCAACGCACGAGTCGATTTTTGAGTCGACTCAAAAATGGTCCACTAACCAACGCATGAGTCGATTTTTGAGTCGACTCAAAAATGGTCCACTAACCAACGCATGAGTCGATTTTTGAGTCGACTCAAAAATGGTCCACTAACCAACGCATGAGTCGATTTTTGAGTCGACTCAAAAATGGTCCACTAACCAACGCATGAGTCGATTTTTGAGTCGACTCAAAAATGGTCCACTAACCAACGCACGAGTCGATTTTTGAGTCGACTCAAAAATGGTCCACTAACCAACGCATGAGTCGATTTTTGAGTCGACTCAAAAATGGTCCACTAACCAACGCATGAGTCGATTTTTGAGTCGACTCAAAAATGGTCCACTAACCAACGCATGAGTCGATTTTTGAGTCGACTCAAAAATGGTCCACTAACCAACGCATGAGTCGATTTTTGAGTCGACTCAAAAATGGTCCACTAACCAACGCATGAGTCGATTTTTGAGTCGACTCAAAAATGGTCCACTAACCAACGCACGAGTCGATTTTTGAGTCGACTCAAAAATGGTCCACTAACCAACGCATGAGTCGATTTTTGAGTCGACTCAAAAATGGTCCACTAACCAACGCATGAGTCGATTTTTGAGTCGACTCAAAAATGGTCCACTAACCAACGCATGAGTCGATTTTTGAGTCGACTCAAAAATGGTCCACTAACCAACGCATGAGTCGATTTTTGAGTCGACTCAAAAATGGTCCACTAACCAACGCATGAGTCGATTTTTGAGTCGACTCAAAAATGGTCCACTAACCAACGCATGAGTCGATTTTTGAGTCGACTCAAAAATGGTCCACTAACCAACGCATGAGTCGATTTTTGAGTCGACTCAAAAATGGTCCACTAACCAACGCATGAGTCGATTTTTGAGTCGACTCAAAAATGGTCCACTAACCAACGCATGAGTCGATTTTTGAGTCGACTCAAAAATGGTCCACTAACCAACGCATGAGTCGATTTTTGAGTCGACTCAAAAATGGTCCACTAACCAACGCATGAGTCGATTTTTGAGTCGACTCAAAAATGGTCCACTAACCAACGCATGAGTCGATTTTTGAGTCGACTCAAAAATGGTCCACTAACCAACGCATGAGTCGATTTTTGAGTCGACTCAAAAATGGTCCACTAACCAACGCATGAGTCGATTTTTGAGTCGACTCAAAAATGGTCCACTAACCAACGCATGAGTCGATTTTTGAGTCGACTCAAAAATGGTCCACTAACCAACGCATGAGTCGATTTTTGAGTCGACTCAAAAATGGTCCACTAACCAACGCATGAGTCGATTTTTGAGTCGACTCAAAAATGGTCCACTAACCAACGCATGAGTCGATTTTTGAGTCGACTCAAAAATGGTCCACTAACCAACGCATGAGTCGATTTTTGAGTCGACTCAAAAATGGTCCACTAACCAACGCATGAGTCGATTTTTGAGTCGACTCAAAAATGGTCCACTAACCAACGCATGAGTCGATTTTTGAGTCGACTCAAAAATGGTCCACTAACCAACGCATGAGTCGATTTTTGAGTCGACTCAAAAATGGTCCACTAACCAACGCATGAGTCGATTTTTGAGTCGACTCAAAAATGGTCCACTAACCAACGCATGAGTCGATTTTTGAGTCGACTCAAAAATGGTCCACTAACCAACGCATGAGTCGATTTTTGAGTCGACTCAAAAATGGTCCACTAACCAACGCATGAGTCGATTTTTGAGTCGACTCAAAAATGGTCCACTAACCAACGCATGAGTCGATTTTTGAGTCGACTCAAAAATGGTCCACTAACCAACGCATGAGTCGATTTTTGAGTCGACTCAAAAATGGTCCACTAACCAACGCATGAGTCGATTTTTGAGTCGACTCAAAAATGGTCCACTAACCAACGCATGAGTCGATTTTTGAGTCGACTCAAAAATGGTCCACTAACCAACGCATGAGTCGATTTTTGAGTCGACTCAAAAATGGTCCACTAACCAACGCATGAGTCGATTTTTGAGTCGACTCAAAAATGGTCCACTAACCAACGCATGAGTCGATTTTTGAGTCGACTCAAAAATGGTCCACTAACCAACGCATGAGTCGATTTTTGAGTCGACTCAAAAATGGTCCACTAACCAACGCATGAGTCGATTTTTGAGTCGACTCAAAAATGGTCCACTAACCAACGCATGAGTCGATTTTTGAGTCGACTCAAAAATGGTCCACTAACCAACGCATGAGTCGATTTTTGAGTCGACTCAAAAATGGTCCACTAACCAACGCATGAGTCGATTTTTGAGTCGACTCAAAAATGGTCCACTAACCAACGCATGAGTCGATTTTTGAGTCGACTCAAAAATGGTCCACTAACCAACGCATGAGTCGATTTTTGAGTCGACTCAAAAATGGTCCACTAACCAACGCATGAGTCGATTTTTGAGTCGACTCAAAAATGGTCCACTAACCAACGCATGAGTCGATTTTTGAGTCGACTCAAAAATGGTCCACTAACCAACGCATGAGTCGATTTT